TTGTAAGGTTTCTCTCCTGAATGAATTCTCTGATGCCTTCTCAGACTGTCTTTTTCAGTAAAACATTTGTCACAATCACTACATTTGAAAGGTTTTTCTCCTGTATGAATTCTCCGATGAACACTAAAATTCGATGGTTGGGCAAAGCATTTGTCACATTGAGTGCATCTGTAAGGTTTCTCTCCTGTATGAATTCTTTGATGACTAGAAAGATAAGATCGTATGGCAAAGCCTTTGTCACATTCATTACATTTGTAAGGTTTCTTTCCTGAATGAATTATCTGATGCCTTCTCAGACTGCCTTTTTTAGTAAAGCATTTGTCATATTCACTACATTTGTAAGGTTTGTCTCCTGAGTGAAGTCTCTGATGATTTCTCAGACTGCCTTTTTCAGTAAAGCATTTGTCACATTCACTACATTTGTAAGGTTTGTCTCCTGAGTGAAGTCTCTGATGATTTCTCAGACTAACTGTGTAGGTAAAGCATTTGTCACATCCACTACATTTGTAAGGTTTCTCTCCAGAATGAATTCTCTGATGAATTCTCAGACTGTCTTTTTTAGTAAAGCATTTGTCACATTCACTACATTTGTAAGGTTTCTTTCCTGTATGAATTCTCTGATGAATTCTCAGAATGCCTTGTACAGTAAAGCATTTTTCACACTCAGTACACTTATAAGGTTTCTCTCCAGTATGATATCGCTTATGAATACTAAGTTGGCCTTTTGTGGCAAAGCGTTTGTCACAGTCACAGCATCTGTGAGGTTTCTCTCCTGTATGAATTCTCTGATGGATGCTAAGATTGAATTTTTGTGTAAAACATTTTTCACATTCACTACATTTGTGAGGTTTCTTTCCTGGACAAACGCTCTGCTGACTTTGAAGATTGTCTCTCTGGGTAAAGCATTTGTCAGGTTCACTACATTTGTAAGGATTCACTCCACTATTATTTTGTTTCACCAGTGGTTTATGTTTAGAGATAAAAATCTTATGAAATTTTGTCTTTCTATTGTGTTCTTTTCTT